TTATAATATAAATTTTAATTTTTACTATATAATAGCAGAGATTAGATAGCATCTATAATTTACATTAAACAATATTTGTAGTGCCATATACAGTATATACATGTTGCTATGCCTGATATAGAGCAAAGTTTGGCACTATGCCTAATAGAGAGCAAAGTTTGGCAAGCTATATCAGCAAAAAATTTTAGATCAACTGATTTATTTTTACTATATTCTTTTTATACAAGATCTAGGTTTATTTTGTGTACTTATAACTAGTAGTTTAGTTATTTAAAAAACCGCATTTAATTAATAAATTCTATAGTTTATAGATAAGTCTAATTCATAGTGGATCTTGTAGATATAAACTTGAATCAAAGTTAAAAAAGCCTTAGCAGATTTATTTTACAATAACACTTCTTTAACTTCTTTGAGTCTTAGTAAATATAAACTCAGAACTAAAGTTAAAAAAGCCTTAGCAGATATATTTTGCAAGAATGCTTCTTTAACTTCTTTGAGTTTAGTCTAGAACTAAAGTTAAAAAAGCCTTAGCAAATTTGTTTTGCAATAACACTTTTTTAACTTCTTTGAGTCTTAGTAGATATAAACCTAGAACTAAAGTTAAAAAAGCCTTAGCAGATGTATTTTGCAAGAATGCTTCTTTAACTTCTTTGAGTTTTAGTGAGTATAAATCTAAAACTAAAGTTAAAAAGCCTTAGCAGATTTGTTTTGCAATGATACTTCTTTAACTTCTTTGAGTCTTAGTAAATATAAACTCAAATTAGAAGTTGAAAAAGCTTTAGCAGATTTGTTTTGCAATAACAATTCTTTAACTTCTTTGGATCTTGGTGAGTGTAAACTCAGATCAGAGGTTAAAAAAGCCTTAGCAGATTCATTTTGCAATAACACTTCTTTAACTTTTTTGAGTTTTAGTAGGTATAAATCTAGAACTAAAGTTGAAAAAGCCTTAGCAAATACATTCTGCAAGAATACTTCTTTAACTTCTTGGAGTCTTAGTGAGCATAAACCTGGAACTAAAATTAAAAAAGCTTTAGCAGATTTGTTTTGCAATAACACTTCTTTAACTTTTTTAAAACTTAGTAGATATAACTCTAGAACTGAAATTAAAAAAGCTTTAGCAGATGTATTCTGCAAGAATGCTTCTTTAATTCTTTTAAGTCTTAGTAGGTATAACCTCAAAACTGAAGTTGAAAAAGCCTTAGCAGATATATTCTGCAAGAACACTTCTTTAACTTCTTGGAGTCTTAGTAAATATAACCCCGAAACTGAAGTTGAAAAAACCTTAGCAGATGCATTCTGCAAGAACATTACTTTAACTCCTTTAAGTCTTAATACTGTAGGTATAACTCTGGAGAAAGAATGCAACAATACAATACCAAATACATAGTCCTTCCCAAATATAAAAAAATATAGTATTTTTTGAGTAAATTTTAAAAGTTTATATTTCAATCTTATTTTTTATTGTTTTTTTTTATTGGCAGATAGTTAATTTAACAAGTAATCTATTTCAAATAAATAAATACATTATTTCTAAAAAATTTTTATATAAGCAACTCTTAAATGCGTCATAATACTTGACTCTTTTATGCTTGTATTTGTATTAGATTAGCATGCATTTTAATTTAATATATATATATATTGTGTATATATATTATTATTATTATTTTAATATTTAAGGTAAGACCTTGCTCTTATCTTTATTAATATATTTATTATTTAATTATATATAAAGACAATTAAAATTATGATTACTTAAATTTATTATTTAACTATTTAATTATATATAATAACCTTTAAGTTATATATTTTAATCAAATTAAATTTTTTTTTTTTTTTTTTTTGAATTCGGCAATCTTGCCTCAACTTTATTAGGCTAAAATATTTAACTCACGGGTAAAATATTATTTTTGCTAAAATAAACTAAAGCACCATCTAAATCACAAGTTTTGGCTAACCTGGTTCATTGCGACACCAAAGTGTCCAAATTACCCATGTTTGATCTACTATAGTAAAATTTATCTCAATATCAAAAAACTCTGCAAATAAATTCTCTGATATATCACTGAATGGTATTTATGGCCTATCAAGACTGCCATCTTTTCTAAACCTTCTTCCCCTAGCTTTGCAAGCAGAAGAATTCATAGTCTCCAACTGACTTATGAAAAAAAAGCACTAATACTAAAGATAAAAAGAACAACATGAAAGGGGAAAGAAAAAAAACTGCCTAAGCAACAAGAAAATGAACAAAAAGAAAAAAATGAAACAAGAAGAAAAAGGCAGAAAAAAAACAATCTATAAAAACACTATTATAGCCCATGCCAGGTATAGTTGTAAAAATTATATACTAAATTTAAAAATCTTGTATATCTCTATTGTAAAGCTTCGCTTTATCGTTAGGTTTCTACTGACTTTACTGTCCGGTCTGGGTCGGTTCGTTAACCATAGCGCCGATTGGTTCATTACGTGGTGTAGGTACATCATTGTCCTACTTCGTCCATCCGAAAATAGAAAGTGTAAACAATGCTGATTTTTTGAAGGGAGTAAGGTGGATTGCTCACTTTTTGTTGAAAATTTTGGTGAGGTTAGCAAGAGGTGGTAGAGGTAAAAAAAAAAACCACTTGATTCAAACTAAAAGAGTGTGTATACTTTTATTGCAAAGTATATCAGTGACTTGTTGACCAAGCAAAGGGCAGGTACTTAAAAAACATTAAAGAGTAAGTGATAAACTCTAAGCTTGTCAGCAAGTAGCATATGAGAACTACTTCTAAACGACAAGTGCTCTCATTACAACAGTGAGTGATAAACTCTGAGCCTGTTAGCAAATAGCGTATGAGAACTATCTCTAAATAACAGATGCTATAGTTCCTCAACTTATTTTACTTAATACTTTTTCAACTAGTTTTAATGTATTTATTAAGAAAAGTTTTTAGAAAAAATTTGGAAAAAATGATCATTGGAAAGAGTTTTTTTGTTTAATCAAATTAAATAAAATCTGATTTTTTTTATTAATAAATAAATTAAAATTATAATATTTGATATATAACAATAAAAATTGTCATATAAATTCTCTGTATCAAAATACAATTCTCTTTTATTAATAAGATATAATTAAATCTAAAAAGTTTCTCGATTATTAATACTATATTAATCATATAAAAAAAATATAGAATAAAAAATAATAAGTATAATAAGTATAGTGCCCAACAAAAGTTTTCCTGCACCTATATCTTCTTATAGAAAGGTGCTATGACTAGAAACTAAATTGAGCTAGTGAAACTAGTGACTATCTAAAATATGATTGGCTGTTTATTCCAATAGCCAATCAGATTTTAGATAGTCACTAGTTTCACCAACTCAATTTAGTTTCACCAACAACTCTAGCTACAACCTTTAAACTTTCAAAAATATTAGTATATATGTAGCTTAGATCATGTGTTTTTTTAAAAGGTTTTTTAATTACTAGAAAAATGAGAGCTAAAGTCAGCATGGTTTTTTTAAAAAAATAAAAAAATTAATTAAATACAAAGAAAAATTAATATATTATTAAAGCTTAAAGCTAAAAATTCCAAAAATTAGCATATTAAAATTCAATGATTTTCTTATTAGTGATAAAAAATTTGGCCCGATTTGATGAGATAATTATTGAGAAATTAATTTTTTAAAATTTGAGTTTTATTTTTAAAAATTACAAAGTAAAATTTTTTAATCAAAAATATTTTGATATCTAGTGAATCAAATTTGATGATTTTAATATCATTTGAATTATCTCGACAAGACAATTTGAATGATAGCAAAATCATCAAATTTGAATTGTTAGAACACGAAATATTTGTAAAAAACATTATGCAATACAAAAAGAGTTAGGTCTCAACAAATTAAAATAAAACTCAAAACCTTAAAAATTAATTTCTCAATAATTAACTCATCAAATCGAGTCAAATTTTTTGTCACTAATACAGAAATCATTTAAGTTTAATCTATTAATTTTTAGAAATTTTAGCTTTAAGCCTTGACGATATATTAAAATTTTTTTGAATACAATTATTTTTTTGGACGAAAAATGTCCCAAATTTGGCTCTCATCTAAATTTATTTCTAGTGATTAAACGACATACACAATCTAATCTGTGTATGTACTAACTTTTCTGAAATTTTCAAGGTCGTAGCACCTTTTTATGAGGAGATATAGGTGCGGGGAAACTTTTGTTGGGCACTGTAGAATTAGGGTGAGAATTAGAGTTCAAATTAACTCAAAATAGTTGGGTTTCATATATTATAATTAGTGCTACAAATCGTCAAAAATTTTGCAATCGATTAGTTGTCAACTTTTCGATTATTCGATTTTCATTCGATTTTAATGAGTTGCCAAAAAATTTTCAATCGATTAGTTGTCAACTTTCCGATTAGTTGCGATTTTCGATTTTCGATTTGTAGCACTAATTATAATTTTATAATAATTTAATATGACCATCTATACCTGATACTATAGAAAATCCATAAAATTATATTTAATCTTGTGATATCTTCCTAAATTGTAAAAAACGGTTTTTTTTGTGTTCTGACATACAAAATGTGTATACAGATAAGGAAATGTAATATTGAGGGGTTTGAAAATTATGTTAAGGGTAGTTCATTCAATGCGGTTTTTATTCTATTTCTGAGTAATAAAAATTTGTCATCGATTGTTGAAACCCCCAAATCTTATCGGGGAGTAATGCAAACGTTCTCATAATGCACTTCCTAACTGCTGCAGCTCACTAAATACAGTCTTAAAGCTCTGGTCCAAATATATGCTTGATTCTTATAAGGCATTTTTTTTCTTATTCTCTGTTAAAAGTTTGATCCCTACGAGCTGCATTTAGGGTATCTCAAAGCTTGAATAAAAATTACTAAGAAGCTATATATTAAAAACTACTCAGTGCTTTAACTAAAATATAAAGTCCTAAAAAAAAACTTTACCCTAATCCCTAAATTTACAAGAATTTAATAATATACGTAATAATGGTATCTTATACCGTTAAAACTGAAATTTCCTCTTATGCACATAAGACCCAGGGTATGTCCTATGAGCTTTATGTAGTGATCAGGTAACGGTAATATGTCATTTGGTATATCAGCATGAAAAAAATCAGAACAGGGTGAAACCCGCAGTAAAACCCGCTTTAATCATCACGTTAAAGTAAATCCGCGTTAGCATGTTTTCGTACGTGGGCTTCAACCCACGTGTGATCGGGTTTAACCATAATTTATAGCGGGTTTTACCCTGTCGTAAAATTATATTACTTTTTACAGTATCTGTAATATATTTGAGATTAATTAACAGTAATAAGTCACATCGTATATGGATATGGAAAAAAATTATTTTTGTTTAATATATCGAGATATGGACTAATTAACCAACTGTTACATAATAGCAACCAACTTATGTTCTGCACTCCACTTTCGGAGTGGGCGTTAGAAATAATACTGTATCTTTAAAAATAACTATGCATTAGAAAATTATGGAATTTAAGAAGTCGAATTTGATTGGCCATACCATATAGCTAAAGATTAGATTTCTATTATCCAATAGATGCTCGCCACGACTTTATCGTGATCCATAAATATATCACGTATATTCACCCAAAAACAAAATCTCTTCATTTCCCCCCTTTGACTCCAATTGACAAAATTCTCATCTTTTCTACATCATATATTTACTTTTATGTAAAAAAACATGCAGCATTTGGTGCCGCGTTGGTTAATTTTATGTATCTCGTTGTGTTTGTTCTGGACTGTGCCAGGTGCTTCGGCACTTTACGATAGTAATAGCCCAGTCATTCTTCTTTCTGAGAATAATTGGGCCGAGGAGGTTCTTTATACGGAGGTAATAAAAAATATTCATTAAATCATTGAAGCATGTATTAATAGGAGTTTTAAATTTGTAATCATAATTCTTTATTAATTAGAAAGTTGTGGTCGTAGAATTTTTCGCGCCTTGGTGCGGACATTGTAAAAAGTAAGCTTTGTATCTTCAATCTGTCATTTAATTTTTCACATAAAGTCATTAAATTAATACTATACATAAATATTCAAAATAGTCTTGCCCCTGAATATATAAAAGCTGCAGAGAACCTAAAAGGTCTTGTGAAAGTAGCCGCAGTTAACTGTGACGACGAGGCTAATAGAAGGATTTGTGGTTCATATGATGTTCAAGGTAAACGTTATATAACATTCATTATCTATTTTGTTTTAACTAAAATTTATGATCTGTCTTATTTCAGGTTTTCCGACTATCAAACTTTTTCCGAGTAAGCCAATTGAAGATGAGAATGTTGTTGGAAAATTTACAAAGAAGCCTAAAGGTGATTAAATTATATCATTGTCAAGCTTCAAAAAATTCTTTTTTAATGCATTCAATGACTTAGTTATCTATCTTTTCTAGATTATCTTGGAGCACGAACTGCTAAAGCAATTGTCGATTATGCTCTCCCAGAGATACCATCTTTCGTGCATACAATCTCTAACAGTTATTCTATAAGTAGAGCTTTAACAATGGATGAATTTTTCTCCAAAGAGGTATACATTAACTACGCCATTATCATCACTTTATAATTTTCCAATTCATTAAACTAATATAATTTTCTAAATTAGAATGATACTATTTCAAAAGTGGTTCTTTTTACTAATAAGGACCAAACAACACCTCTCTACAAAGCTCTTTCTTGCGAATTTCATAATAGACTTATATTTGGTGAGGTCAAAGAAAAAGAGTCTGCTATTGCTGAGAAATTTGGAGTTAACAAATTTCCAAAGTTATTTGTTATTCCAAAAGAAAGTAATGAAGCCATAGAATTTAAAGGTATATACATATATTTATATATTTATCTTATTTTATTTTTCCAACGGATTATTATTTATACTTGCCGATCTGTCGTAGATAAATTTGGTTATGACTCGATATTCCAGTTTTTGGACAAACACGCGCTGCCTAAAAAAAAGTCAAAAGGAAAAACAGAAAAAGAAAAAGAACCTGAACCAGAGCCATGTAAGTAAACTAAACTACTTGATATATATATATATATTTATATTTATATAACTAAACGTACTAATATTAATCTATTTACAATAAAGTTGATCCTGAAATATATGAAATCACAACCCAATCTGAATTAGAGTCCCAATGTCTTTCAAAGCCAATTGGTCTTTGTGTATTCTCATTCCTCATACTTGAACCAGAGTATCCAGAGTCTGTTGCTGATCATTCTAACAATCTTGAAATTCTTCGTAAAGTAAAAAAAAAATTCCATGATCAAAGTAGCGTTGATAAAAAACTTAGTTTACGATTTTTCTGGTTTAATGCCTTATCAAAGGGAGCCAAGAAATTGATAAAGGATTTTAAATTATCGGATATGTTTCCAAATTTAATGATTCTTAATCCAAATCGAAAAGTTTATCGACCTCATATTGGTCCATTTGATGAAGAAGGGGTTGTAAAGTTTTTGAATGATATTGCAAAAGGACGCGGAAGTAGTTATGAATATGGTTTTGATGTTTTTATTGACGAGAAAATCGAAAAGAAAGACGATAAAAAGAAGGATGAAAAGGAAGATGATGAAAAGAAGGTTGAGAAAAAAGATGATGAAAAGAAGGTTGAGAAGAAAGATGATGATGAGAAGGTTGAGAAGAAAGATGATGAAAAGAAAGATGATGAAAAGAAAGATGATGAAAAGAAGGTTGAGAAGAGAGATGATGAAAAGAAAGATGATGAAAAGAAAACTGAGGAAGAAAAGAAATGTGGTATAGATGAGTTAGGAAAAGATGGTGTTTGTAGTGGTGGTACACATAAAACAGAGAGTAAATCTGATGAGAAAGATAAGCCTAAAGATCATGATGAGTTGTAATAATGGAATTTTTTTAAAAGTCAAAAACATTTCATAATAAAATTGCATTGCATAATTAAATTTAAGTCATACGTGAACATTTCCTTGAGTTTCACAGTAACATTAATAAATTATATTGCCAGGGCGAAATTATTATAAGTCTGATACAAAGTTATACATATTTATTATTTCGTAACCAATTATAAGTATCTACAATATGCAAGATAATTTTAAACTTTGAAAACACTTGTTTCGAAGATTGCCCCAACTATCACGAAGAATATTTCATTGGTTAGAAGATATCTTCCAATCCATCTCATCATATTGAATTGTTGGTGATCGAACATATCTCTAGGTAAAGTGTTATCATACGACGACATGCTTAAATTTTTTGTAGTTGTCTGACTAGCTAAAGTGCATGTGGAGGTTCGAAATGGTTATTAACTGATAAAAAAAAGCTTATGTGCTACGTACATACCTGTACGTACTTCAGAAATTTTCAATATTCAAGAAACTTTGTATGAAATTTCGTTATTCTGTATTGTTTAGGTTTGAGAATGCATAAAAGTTAGTAAATCAAATCTTTGCTTATTGCAGTATTGTCAATGTTTATCGCGCCGCGTAATTAACCAATGAAAATTTAGGGTTATATTACGCTAACAAAACAATGCTGAACTCGGTTGTAAATTTAATTGGCTTAAATCACATGCATTCGTAGATCCCAACGTGTCAATTATATAACGGCTCTTTTTCCGTTAGTTCACTTTTATATTCAAACGGCGACAAAACAAGCACTACTAAACTGTGACAAAAAGCACCACCGAATGACGAAAGAATAACTACAAGACATCCCTAAGTGGTGATAGAAAAGTATAAGACATCATCAATCGACGACGAAAAAAAAACATCACAAAGCCGATGATGAGATCAAAAAAACACTACCGAACGACAAGAAAACATCACTGAACGATGACAAAGAAGCATCACAAACGATAGAAAAAAACATCACATGACAATAAAAAAGCACTACTTACAAATGATAGAAAAAAATTCTTTAATTTTTACTATATAGATAAATATAATATTAGGATATAAATTGAAGATTAATATTACATTATTCAAATACCAAACTATATGAATGTAGATTGTTATGGTTCACGTCACCTATACTCATCAAAAAATGTAGATCATTAGTCAAAAATTCATGCCACCTAAGAAATTTTCATATTTATTCCGAAATTTGAGAAATTAATTAACTTTAATCTTTAATACTTTACAAAATAACAAATACAGAAAAAAAATAAGCCATAAATCTGAAAGAGCAGCATCGAATTTACTATTTTTACGGTTTATATTTTTAATATCACTTAAATTAAAAGACAAGAAGCTATTTGAATTTATATCAATTTTCTTTGATGACTATAAGTGACGTGAACCATAGACGAACATTTTGGTAAAAAAAAAAAAAAAGAATAAGAAAGTCTTTCTTTACCATGACAATGCCTTTTCACATATAGCTGGAATTGTTACTGAGTATTTAAGGCATGAACATGTTATTTCTATTTGTTCTCTAAACTAAAAAAGATATTGACTGGTCATTACTTTGAGTGTATTGAAAATTTTTCGGATTAACTTTATTGTAATCAGAAAAGTGAAAATAACGACATCAACGAGTATGCTGAGCGACTTTGTCCTTTGGAAGTTTGGGTTATACACTTTTCGCGTGAAGATGATGTAACTAAGACATCTTATTGGCCGTGTAGAAAGCTACAGGAGAAGGGTTAAATGTTGTGCATTTCTGGTATAATAAAGGTTTATGAATGTCAGGATAAGTTCAAAGTCATTGGATGCTGCTAGTAAGTTTAGTGAAATAATAATTAACGAATCTATTAATGTTAAAAACTTTTGAACTCTGTAGTAGTCATCCGAACTGTCACGTGCTTATCCGAAGCATAACCTTGTACACATTTTCGGTATGTGGTTTAAAAATATTAAGCCAATATTTTTTGAATATGAAAAATTTCAGAAAAAGACCTTAATCAATTACGTAATTTATTATTTAAAAACTTTGGTAATTCTTTTGGGAATTATTATTATCTTTCTGAAAAAGAATATGAAAAACCTTCATACATGCCGTTAATTCAATTCTTAATAATAATATCCATATATTAAATAATGGAATTTCTTTATAATATTCACCTTATTTATTGGTCAGTTAATGATTACAATTTGTACGTACCTCGACAGTTACTACGTATCAAGGCCTATGTTTCCCAGAATTGGCAGAATCGTCTGAAACGCTGCATAGAAGTTAGAGTTCGACTCAATAGACATTTTTTCATGAAAATGAAATTATCAATATTGGAATTGCATTCGCATATTTCGAAAGAATGATGTAAGTTTTTTTTTTATATTAATAAATTGAAATAATTGCATTACAACAAACCTTTCTAATTAACCCCACGTAATTCATTTATTCTTGCAAAGTTTATAAAAAAAACGGTTCAGTAGAATATATCTAGGCCAGATTCAGTATTTTTTCGAACATGAAGTTAATCTATTGGAACATTAGCTGGTTTAGTAAGGTAGTTTATGGCAGTTCAGAACTACAAGAAGAGGTGTCACTTTCAGGTCAACGACATCCAAAGCAATACAGTACAAAAATATTTCTATGAAATTAGTAGAGACTGTATAATACCAGTTCATAACATCTTGGGCTCCTAGTATCAATACAAAATAGAAAACATAAGGTAATTGCTTCTATACCTATAAAATATGTTGGATGTGTGCTTAATTTTTATACTGTTGAACCTCTAAAAACCGATATGCATAGTGAATAGGTTTTGTATCAATATTGAGAGGTTATCAGATTTGAAAAAATTATAAACTACTATATAGTTTATATAGCAGAAACGGACTTGGTAGACTAATTTTTTTCAGGTTTGACAGGATCGGGTTTGAGAGGTTCAACAGTAAATGGACAACCTGTATTATAAAAAGAGATTGAATTCAAATGTATAATTATTTAAGGTAATCTTTTCATATTAATGAGCACATTGAAATGTTCTGCGTCAATTTCAATTATGTTGCTTTGAAATTGACATAATATTATTCGTAAATTAAAGAGTAATGCACATTATTTACGATCGGTGAAAATGTATATCAGAAAAACGCTCATTTCACTCGAAGATTTGCCAAATCATTGACGAGAAATTATTATATTGACATTATTCATGAGCAAATTTATTTTTTTACAGCTCTTGCCAAATGTTTCATCAACATGATCTTCGAAAACAATTGGTGGAGCTTTTTGAAAGTAATACAAACTTTACGTTCATTATTGTATTCTGCTTCGACTACTTACTGCGGGATATACAGGATTTTCGGAATTTACTATTGAAAATTTCAAAAATATTTAACGGTGAATAACTTTTGATCCACTGGTCCGTTTTCGATGAAACAATTACCAAAATGTTCGTCTCGTTGAGACGATTCTAATGGACACAAAATTGTCAAAATCCAATCACAGAACCCCGAGATTGGTAGAGATTTGCGTCGCTTCGGGTGTTTTAGGATTGGTCAAACCAATCCTAAAACACCCGAAGTGGAACAAATCATCAAAGATATCAGGATCCTGTGATTGGATTTTGGCAATTTTGTATCCATTAGAATTGTCTCACTGAGACGAAAATTTTGGTAATTGTTTTGTAGAAAACGGATCAGTGGATCAAAAGTTATTCACCGTTAAATATTTTTGGAATTTTTAATAGTAAATTCCAAAAATCCGCCGATATGCTTCAATCAGGATATTATAAGTATTATTCTATTTCGCGTTAGTTTTGTAAGTGATTAAAACATTCGGACATGAAATAAAATAAACGACAAAAGTTGCGTATAATTTAAATTAAAGCGTATTATTGTAATCTTATATCTTTAATATTTTTGTTCCATATGGGTTAGGTGCTTGAGAAAAAGGACGAAATTGACAAAACAAGATATCTTCGGAAAATAAATTTAAATCATAAGAAAATACAAACTTTAAGAAGCTCATCACGGCGAATTTATGAAATTTAGCTAAAATTTAGTCACCAAATCCGAGTATTTCGCCCAAAGTAAATCTTAGTTACCAATTTACATGTTAATAAATTGATACCAAACACCGAAAATTTTTTTTGGACCTCTGATCTAACCCATCTTCCCACCCTTATTAGGCATATAAATTTATTATAACGACGCACCTTAGCGTGGGAAAAATTTCTTATCACAGCCAAATCTATATTTATATCTTAGTGGTCAAAATTTTCAAAATTTGGGTATTTCATAAATTCGCCGCAATGTATATTGCAAAATTTTATTGACACAATTACTTTTGTGTCTTAAGTGAAAAATGTTTCTAATCTTATTTTAAATTGATTTGTGTAAAAAACCATCTTTTGAAAAATTGTCAATTTCATCCCTTTTCTCAGCACCTAGCCCATGGGAATTGCGGACAACATTGTAAAAAAGAAGTAGCATGCAATGAGGCGCAGATACCAATATATGGTATCGATACAGTGATCCTGCAAATATCGACCTATGCTTCTCGCATCTAAGCAGCTTTTTATTTTTATTTGGTCCGAATCCTTGAATTCTGGTAGAATCAATTTAAAAAAGGATTTCGGATCAATAAATATGGTTTTGTAGCAAGTGCATTGATTTAGCGTTCAAAATTAATATTTGTGGAATTAAGATAAAAAAAAAACCCCAGCAATGTGAAGGCAGTGCAGTGTTGTACATGGTACATGTCTAAACTATGTTTTTGTCCAAGTGTCTAAAATCGGGATCTTCTTTAGTATAGCTAGGCAATTTAGAAATATTATAAAATTATAGTATAAAAAACCTAACTCTAATTTAGACTATACCCTCACCCTAACCCTAACTATTTATAAATTTGCTTAAATTAATTTACAGCTATTATCATAATTTCTGAAACACCTGATAAAATTAGCCGAATTGTTTGGCCGATTCGGTTAAGTTAGTGATTTCGGGATGATCCACTATATAATAAAATAATAAAAGCTGTTATGACCAATTATAACAATAATATCAATGTTATTAAATTTTCGTCCCAACGCTTGTCCAACATGCTTAGTGTTTATTTTGCACGAAAATTTATGGAAAAGACTGCTTGTGTCAACCAATAAACCCTAGTAAGAAATCTAAAAAAGGGACCGGATATAAATTAGACCTTTATAATAAATATATTACACGAACAGGTGCCGCTATTAAAAAAGTTTATATGTTAATTAATTTGCCGACTGGTATAATAATGAATCTCAAGTTAGGATTCCAAGCGACCAATATATTATTAATATTTGTGGAGAATGCATGAAGAATTATCAAAGTAAAAAATTTTATATGTTTATATTTATTTATATATTGAAAAATATTAGTACTAACGATTAAAATTAGTTCAAAAATGGGATCAAAAATTAAATGAAAGTATCGAAGTGGATTTAGAATTAAAGATTGTCCATCTGAAGCAGATAGTTTAGAAGACTTGTTGACACCTAAGTGTTTAGCAATTTGTCGAACTGATAAGATTTCTAAATTTTTTTCAAACGATTTGCCAGCGAAAGTGCTTTGTAAATATCATTTCTAGAGATATCCAAAATTTTTTAAAAATAAAATTTTGTCTTCGACAAGAAATGAAAAATAATTAGAAATAAATAAAGGCTTCGTTCGTTTGAACGAAAATGGATCTTTCCAAGGAATAGAAATCGAAATTTAATTCAATTTTTTAAAAACGAATTTTCATTGAAAATAATTAAAAATGAATAAAGGCTTCGTTTAAACGAAAATAGATCTTGCCAAAGAATAGGAACTGTAATTTTTGCACAATTTTTTAAAAATGAATTTTCGTTGAAAATAATTAGAAATGAATAAAGGTTTCGTTCATCTTGCCAAAGAATGAGGATTGAAATTTTAACCAATTTTTTAATAAAACCCAATTTTTGTCTTCGACAAGAAATGAAAAATAATTAGAAATAAATAAAGGCTTCATTCGTTTGAACAAAAATGGATCTTGCTAAAGAATAGGTATTGAAATTTTACACAATTTTTTAAAACCAAATTTTCGTCAAAAATAATTAGGCTTCATTTGAGCGAAAATGGATCGTGCCAAAGAGTAGGAATTGAAATTTACAACTTACAAGTGCATGTCGATATTTATTCTTATTTTAATATAAATTATATTATATATCTGATCTTATTAAATTACGCATCTGATATATCTGTTACTGAATTTTATTATTCCCGAAATTTATAACTTAACCGAATCGGCTGAAAAATCATTCGGCTAATTTTATCAGGTGTTTCAGGAATTATTATAATAGCTGTAAATAGTTATTTTTATATATTACAGCTATTTTCATAATTCCTGGAACACCTGATAAAAATTGGCCGAATAACTATTCAACCGATTCGATTAAGTTTGTGAGATCGGCATAATAGATTCAATAAATTTAATGTATATGTTGTGCGTCAGATTAATATAAAATAATATAAATAATATAAATAATGAGGCACAACATGTATAAGATTAGGGATTGGAACCCTTTAACTGCATAAAAAAAATTTATAATGCCGGGCTGAATTTTGTTTATCACGGGCCAGGACAGTTTTAATGCCGGATGATTAAAGGGTTAATACAGTTAAAAGATTAAACGGTTAAGGAAATTTTAAACGGTTCCAATCCTTATATAAGATCAGATAACTAATTTAAATATTACTGAATATTGTATCTCTGGTTGGATATAGAAATATGATACCTTTAAAGCATCTTCGCTGGGGAAAAAATTTTAGAAGACCTATCATTTCGAACACTTAGTTGTTAGTATATCTTTTATAAGTCATATGGATGTTAGAAAAGCTTCCGTCACTTTCAGGAGAACCACGTTCACTGAACATGATTGATACAAAATATTTTAAATTTTAAAACTTTAATGAAAAACCTTATTGGTATTTGTATAAATTACGATCTGAGATTGAATTAGTCTTATGACAATTTGAAGGGCAACTTGTACGTATTGTGGACGTGAAAACGGCGAGTCTGTCGCTAGAAGACCAGAAATCTCGCGTTACGTCGACGTTTTTAGGCTTTTATAGAGGTGTGGATACGATTTGGCGAGTATCAAACTATTTTGTATTTTATGTAGGGTTTTGGGGTTTTATTTATGGATTAAAGTTATTAACACTTGATCTTTTGCTCCTACTATTATTCAGACGCATGGAAAGATGATTACTTTATTAAATTTTCTCTTCTCTTTTATACATTTTGTTTTTCTACGACTAATTTTATTCCTTCCTTTTTCTCTTAGATCCCTTTTCCGCCACTTCTATGCGGGTTTCACCCAATTTTGGGTTGATCGTGAATGCCAAAATCCGGGGGCATGCACGATCGTGGATCGTGCATCGATCCCGGTCCCGATCGACGTTTGGACGATTTATACTGCCCGTGACAGTATATACAAATAAAAGTAATATTTCATATACAGGATCTTCCTTTAACGTATACTTCAATTCATCAATATGTTTATTAATAAATAGTGCTATATTTCTTGTTAAGATTTATTGACACACTAATTATGTTGACATTATTGTTACAACGATCTGTAAACAGTCATTATATGATATAAAATTTTTTATACTGTGTATCATGCCGAAATTACAAACCTAATCAAATCGGCTGAAAAATGATTCGGCCAATTTTTATCAGGTGTTCCAGAAATTATGAAAATACAGTAGCTGTAAAATTAGGGTTTGATCGGTTCGGTCCGGTCCGTCTCGGTCCTAATAAGACCGGTCCCAATAACGATAATATCTACGGTTCAGTTCGGTCCGGTTCTCATGTGAGTGATTATCAATTTTAGTTATCAACATCGAAATGAAATTCATGCAATAATGGTTTTTAACTATTTAAAACTTTATTTATAGCTTTTTTTAACTGTTTAAAAGCTTATTTTAATAGTTTATTCTTAACCGATCTGAACTGGTTAAAAGACCGAAAACCGAGGACCATATAACTGGTTTAAAAGACCGGTCCTTAACTGGTCTTCTCAGGACCAATCCAACCTCAATTAAAATCTTATAATAATTTTATCTTGCCAGCTATACTAAAGATCAACCACACATTTTCAAAATAACCATTATGTAGTATGATTAAACATGAATGGATTCTTAATTTGAAAAATGACATAGATAAAACGATGTATAAAAAGGTGGATCCAGCATATAATTTAATGTAATAAAAATAATATATTTACTTCTATAGATTATTCCATAAATTAATGGTAGACCTCAGTGTTTCGGCCTAAACCTGATTTTGCAGATCATTTGCAGATCAAATTGGGCGAAACTAGTTTCGGAGGGTTTCGGACTTATAGGGCGAAACTAAAATTCCTCTGGCCGAAACGTTTCGAACTTTGGGGAGGTTTAGGCCGAAACACTGGTAGACCTACAGTAAAACCTCTGACATGAACTTAGAGAACAATAAGAAAAAGTGCATTTTGAAGGTCATGTATTCATTTGGGCCAGAATCTGCGTGTGCATTTAAAGAGGTTGCACTGCACTTAGGAAGATTTCACTGTAATAATTTTAATATGTGAATGATTTTGTGTTTATGTAATGTATTGTATTGTAAGGACAAGTAAAATTACTTTGGATTTAAAAGTTAAGGAATTGTCAGGGTCGCAATTGATAAAGAGCTAGATAATGCGAAAAATAAGCTCTAGTAATACAATATTAACTCTTGATGAGAGAATAAATAATCCATTCAAGAGAACATAAACATATTTCACTGTTAATGCTAATAGTGATATAGTTATACTAAACAGATGCATTTACATAACAAAAATAATAAAGATCAAATAAAGTTAAGTAAAGAGACGAATATGAAGAATTTCTATGGCGTTCAATACATATTTGTTTACTGGTAAGATTTAAAGATTTAAAGTTAGAGTTAGGAGTAGGGTATGATTTTTAGGACAGAAAATATCTTTGCTTAGAGTAATTTACATAGCAAGGGCTGCACGTATCAGCTACAACCAGTGTCTGAAATTGGGTTGCGGAGTCTGCAGACCGCAACAAAGTTTTAAATTTCCGCAACCAAAATCTGAAGTGCACATGCAAATTCCGCATATGAATTTGCAAAATTTACCTATAAATTTCGATTAAATGTTCATGTGCGCAACTAAATTTTTATAAATTTTATAATCCGCAAGTCGTTTTTTTCAATTGATTGCAGCCCGCAACTAATTTAAAAATTGAATTTCAGACACTGGCTACAACATTTCAATATATTCATTAAACTTGTTATATATATATATATATAGTATTCATTAAGAAAAAAAAAATAACTTGAACGGAAAGTAAATTATCTGAAATTATGAAAATAATATTGGTTTATCCAGGGCTTTGTAATTTACAGAACCTTCTATTATTTTTTAGCAAAAATTGAAACATAAATTAATCCATCCTTCTTACCTATATTCGGGTATTTTGTATGTTCCGAATTTAATGACCCATAACAAATTTGGTCGGAAATGATATTAACAAATCCGAGAGGTTGAAATTTTTCACAATCATCTTGGTCAAAGATTTGATTCACCAAGATCAAATTGTCATTAGGGGTTTTAATTTTTTCGCTACTACATAATATTTTCTTGGTTGGCCCCTTTTCCCAACTAAATTCCACTTCGCCAAAAGAAGAATTTGTTGTATCGACAATACTATAATCGATAAAGCATTGTCAATAAATTTCAACACATGTTTAATACAAATTTTGAGCAAAATATTGAAAGATTCAGATGTCAAACAAAGCAAGATATTTCCTATTATAATTTGTAGAAAACCATAATAAATGTGACTAAATTTGATATCTTCAAAACTTTTTTGTGAAATTTTTACAGTGTAAGTTTTGAAAAATTCTGTGTTGAAATAGGAAATTTTGCAAAAATATTTTTAATTATATTGACAACTGAAACTTTAATAAAGTCTCTTTATGGTAAAATTCGAGAAGATTAAAATATTAGTGTTGACCACTGCCTACAATTCCCAGAGCCTTGTTCAAGTGCTCCTTTCTTAAATTGAATAATACAAGGTACCCTAGCGATTTCACCGGTGGAAAAGGTACTTTATGCAGGATATTATTTAGGGAGGTACTGTAAACGATGGTCAACAGTATTTTACTTACCAACTATATAAAGACAACCTTTTCAACGGTTACTTTTTTCTTAGTTTTAATGTCATAAATAAATAGCCATGCAGACTCTTGACATATAGATTTTTGACAACGCGTAAGGTAATTGCCGATGGCAAATGTGGAACATCTTGGGTCGTATTTTATTTGATCGTAGGCAGGTATCCCTGTAACTGAACTATTTTCTACCTGGGGAGTATTATTAGTTGCTTCTAGGACGCAAGTGCCAAACATGCAATGGTTGTTTATCATATGATTATCTTTTGTTCTAAGAGGTTGATATTTGCCGCTTTTGAATATCAGTGGATATTGGATACTAAAATCAAAGCTTGCTGGTGGTCCGATGATAATCCATCCAAGTTTAATTTTAACTTCTTTAACTTTAGAAGGCATAATAGTCTTTTCACCATGTATATGATGAATAACAATCACTGGGAAGTCCTTATTTCCGCCCATATAATCAATATGTAGCGAAAATATATTGTTGTTCTCGCTCATAATTGATTCAAGAACATTGCATTCGCCAATATTGATTTTATTAGTTACCAATAATTTATGGATATATGGCTTCTTATTTTTTTCATATTTTTTTATGTTAAAGGGATTTCAGCGACTTTGGCTATTATTAATCAAGGAATTAATATTAGGGCTTTAGTTAAATAACTTTATGTGAATAATATTAAGTCTTTACCTTCTAAAATTTGATGACCCATGACGCTCAACACTTTTTTTTTCAATTCATCATCTAATAATTCAAATAATGAATAAACTTCTTCGTACCCGATTATTTTCCATTTGGCTTCATCATTAAGAGATTGTTTCCAAGGATTTTTATCATCTTGAGAATATTCAGTTTCATTTCCACCAATAATTGTTTCAAAATTCTTTGTACTGTTATTATAATTGTTATACATATCCGTATTGCCATGAATAACACCGACTTCGGGCTTTAGAATGTTTGCAATTTTGACTCCAAATTGTATATTCATAGTTTTGGTCTTAGAATTTTCGACTATATTAGATTATTATGTAATTAAATTAAAGAAAAGATATTAGAGTTAGCATTTTAATTAGCATTATCCGACATTTTATATGATCGCGTGATTTGTTTTTTGCATTGATATTTATTGCAATCATTCGTGCAAAAAATCTGCACAGCTATATTGTATATCGACAACATTAATATTTGGGATACGATCATAGCAAGAAATTTCTTCACCAGAATAATGCTACGCATGTGCTGCTACTCAACACATAGAAGTGACATTAACTCCGAAGATAATATCTTGTTATTTTTTTTCATCAGTATAGACCCAACTATCTTAATATAAATCTGGATTTATTATATCTTGATTTAAACACTAGGTCGCATTATTTCTCGATTTAAACACTAGGTCGCATTATTTCTCAAGCCATAATAGATCCAGATTTTAATTCTGATAAACACACCTGAATTTTTAGTATGTTTTTCATTCCTTATTATGGTCCCGCCTAAAATAAGACGTCGTGCATAAAAGTGACCATATTTTCCTGATATTTCGCAAAGCTTATTTATTTTATCATCATCAGGGATTTCATCATTCACCACATTTCCGACATCTTCAATAAAATTTTTTTCTACAATAATATTTTTATCTAGTATAGGTAATACCCTCTTATTACTCGTTCACATGAATGTCTGGTATACGTCATGTGTTGCTTACGTGTCTGGTTAGAATTTTCACGCGATAATCTATTAGAAGTAGAAATCCATTCTGGAATTGCAACTGAAAAATTTACATCAAATATAAGAGATCGTTTACAATCTGCGGTTGTTTCGTGTTTACATTCATATACTTCTTCATAATGCTGGTTTATTTTCTCCATCTCGTTTTCACCAAGGTTAATTTTGAATGCTTGTCAGATGCTCTTGTTATAGATCCATCTTTATTAATCCTGAATCCTTTTTCAGACCTTAATTGGGTCAAATAGAATTCAGTATTTTGAGTAATATATAAATTATTATTATCATCTTTTTTCTCAACGACATCTAAAAGACTGATATTAGGTTCATCACTCGGGCTAATCTCCGCTTCGCCTTTCGAAAAATGCAAAAAACGACAATTTGACCCCACATGGAGATAATTATCACATAAAAGCATCTTGCGAACATCGATAAGCTTACTTTTTCTAGGGTACTTCCTCAAATGCTTTTTTAAATCTTTGTTAATGACTATAATATCAATGATATCATTTTCTTCATCTACGTTTTCGTTGATTTCGGTCATTTTGGTTTTTATTTTCATCTTTAATTATTATGTCGCATTCATTTTTCGATATTTCTTTTGTTACAGTACTCATAATTATCGCACTAAAAAACAATTTATGCAAGTAAGCTAGCAAAAATTCTATATTTTTTTTATGTACGTACGTACGTACAGTACATACGTATGACATTATTTGTGCAATGAAGCTCAAAAGAGTATTTAGTAACACAGTACGGTACAGTATTGTAAGTTAGTACGTACTACTCACGCATAATAGCAAATGTACACAGTAACATTGATAATTTCAAAAAGAAAAAAAAACAGAATTTAAATATTTTTAATTAGTAATGCGGTATTTAATACACAGATGTTGGAACAAATTAGTCAACATTAACTTTAACTGTAGAACAGTCAACGAAATATAATTCCATTAAAATATTTCCCGTTCATAGTCCTGAACAAAATTACAGTATTCATTCAGTGACTTAAACCAATCAGATAGCGAAGTTCTAGTTAGAATTTGAACTACAGAACTAGCCCGAACAAACAGGTGCCTAAACCAGTTTAGAAACACGTTTTGTAAAGTGTGATAATACAAATTCTAAAGGAAATAATCAACATTTATATTATAGGAATTTATTTCTTTTCCTGGTCCGCATAAAATAACAAGTAAAGCCGTCATGCTTATGTATCATTATGTTTAATGTAGCACTGCTTTGCATCACGTAATCAATTAAATGCAAAATTTATTTTATTATTTGTACTGTATTCTTGAAAGCCACGAATTTAATGCAGAAGGTATGATTAACGAAAGCTCCTCAAACTTTAATCGTGGAATAATTATCAATTCCAAGGGAATTCAACTTTCGAATTTGATATCTTATAACCTTAAACCACAACATGAAAATAATTCCATAAAAAATGTATCTTTTTGTGCAAAGCTAGTGAATTCTAAAACGAAATAAGAATCTTTTTTATTGAAAAATCATATTGAGCTCTCTGCTGATGATTTAGAGCATGTTAGCCAAATATTTGATGCCGATAAGAACGTAAATTCTACAATGGCCCTTCTAAGCGACGAAACTTTTACAAATGATATTTTTCTAATGATACAATGCACAAAAGTTAAATTGATTATTAAAAAAGAATCAATAAAACCATCCGATGAATTAATTAATAAAATAGAAGAAGCTCTGAAGCACAATGACTCTTATCATAAATTATTGGATGTATTTAAGCGCTATGGTCATTTTTTGCCAAAAAAGGTGACTCTTGGCCATAAACTATTTAGAATGACTTTTTTAACAGTAGATAAAATTGCAGAAGAACCTGACAATAATAATAATGGCGCAATATGGTCGACTCTTGATGATTTTCCAGAGAATAAACTTGAAGATATCTTTAATCAATGGGAAGAATGCATTAATTCTTATAATCTTGATTTATCTTACCTTGTATCAATTAATGGCGAATTGATTATGAAAAATAAAATCAAAATGTGGATTAAATTTTGTTTAGAGAGTGATCTTGACTCATTACAAGTTATTAGCTGCAAAGAATTATATCCATTGTATGAAATTTTTGACTTACCTCTTCGACAAAAAGTTGAATCAGTTTTTGCGATTAATAGACAAATTAAAACCACTCTTGGAATTGATAACCAAGATGAAACTATTAATAAGAATAATATTAAAGAAAGAGTTCTTATGGCAGGAATAGTACCAATTAAAGATCCTCCCTATTCTTATAGTGTAAAATTCCCTGTTTGTTTTAAGTCTAATAATTATCAAATTTTTGGAAAATTTATTACACAATATGATGAACCCATTGATGAGGTAATAATCAAATTCGATTTTATGAGCACATATGGATTCTTAATTTTCATGGATGATTAGTAAGTTGTTATTATATGAACTATTAATTAATTTCAGCTTAAATCAATATACTAACTTCTTATTTTTAGTGAGCTCACATATGTAAATCCAAAAATTGCTTGGATATTAATTGGAATACCTGTTGAAATTGGCTATTTTAGTCTAAATACACGAAAAATAAAAGTATTGGGTTCTGGTAATGAACCATTTGCATTAAAGTCAAATAATAATAATATTGTATTGAAAGTTCCGGAAAATTTACCATATGAATCGGTTATTGTTGTCTCATTTAAGCATCCACCTTCAAATTATGAGCCGAATTTCATAGCTAAAATACAAAGTTATCGAGATAATAAAATTTTGTTTAATATACACTGTCCCGATTATGAATCATCTGACAGCGAAGAAAATAATGAAGATTCGAAACCCTCTGATAACGAAGAAGCGAATAAAGATAAGGTGCCTTCTGATCAAGAACATATCCTCAGAAATGCTCTTACAAATAATAAAGATGAAAAAGAGTATTCCAACAATAACCTAGACGATATTGAATTTGTTCATAAAAATGATTTTTCAAATAAAGAAGACAGTATTATTGGAGAGGGTTCTAATAGCAAATATGTTGATGTTAGTGAAAACATTAATAAAAGCAGCCATGATAAAAGTAGTGATAATTTGGCAAATGAGAAATATGAAGAATATTCTGAACTCAATGACATAAAAGATAGTTATTTTATAAAAATGGTTGATTTTGAGTATAGAAACTTTAATTACAACAAGAGATCTCCTGAAAGAAATCCGAATAATGTATCAGAATATTCAGTTCAATGGTTTATCCTCCAAAATTCTGTTATAACTGAATCATCTGAGATAATGATTTATCTAAACAAAATAGGCCACGAATTTCACTTAAAAACAAAATCAAGTAAGTGTGTAAATTAAACTATTTATTTTATAAAATTGTAATATTAAACTCATTAAACTCATTAACTGCTTATTAATAATCATTATTCATAAAGAAGGATCACTTCATTCGGCTAGGTCAACTTCGAAAAATCAATTTAATGTTCTATATAAACGTATAGAAGAAGAAAAAATAGACTTGTATAAGATATCTATCAAGTATAGAAAATTGGACTATTTGGAAGATTCAGATGAAATAACTGATCTTGGTCATCGTTACCTAAATGGAATTGGTGTCGATAGAGATGAACACAAGGCATTTATAAATTATCAAAAATCTGCAGGGATGGAAAATTCTTCTGGGACATTTCACGTTGGTTATTGTTATCAAAATGGAGTTGAAATTGAAAAGGATGAACATAATGCATTCATTTATTATCAAAAATCTGCCGAAATGGGTAATTCCTATGGAATGTTTCAAGTCGGTTACTGCTATCAAAATGGGATTGGAGTTCACAATGATGAGCATAAGGCATTTGAATACTATAAAAAAGCTGCTGAAATGGGTGATTATGATGGAATATTTCAAATTGGATATTGTTACCAAAACGGAATTGGTGTTAAAATGGACGAAAATGAGGCATTTTCCCAATTTTGGAAATTATTTGCCTAATGGTATTGGTGATTGTTATCTAAATGGGATATGTGTTCAAAAGGATGAATGTAAAGCGTTTACTTATTATCAAAGCTCTGCAGATGAAGGAAACCCTAATGGAATGTTTAAAGTTGGCTATTGTTATGCTAATGGAATTGGAATTGAAAAGTTGCAAACAAAATAATACGTCTCCAGCATGGTGTCAGACATGTGACCCGCTGATAGTGACTCAATGGTGGACAAATGGAAATAAAGATATTGACAACTGCATTAAAGAATTCCAACTTAAAGATACAGAATATAAGGATGTGATTGAATGGATTTCCATTTGATAGACAAGATGATCTACAAAATATTAGAGAAGGGTCCGAATCATTGTTTACGGCAACATGGTTAGATGGAATACGAACAATTGATGGTAGTTATGATGAAGGTTATAAACAATCACGCACGTCACATTGTGGGTCGAGATCAAGACACTACATAATTCACAAACAAACACCTTAAATTTCATTAAAGAAGTAAGTAAAAGTTAATTTATTTAGCAAAGAATAATGAAATCGTATTAATATATACTGTATACATCATCTATTTTACCAGTTTAAAACCTACATGCATAATAAGCTTAAAATATACGGAATAACACAAAATACAGTATATGATTGTGTTTGATAAATTTGTGCTAATGAGAGATTATAATAATGGTAGGTGTACACACTGTAGGCGATACAACACCTCAAAAGGCTGGTGCCTACATGTAGTCCTCGCCAAGAATTTATTAATTCTCAAAGATCTGCTGAAATGGGAAACGCTAGTGGAATAAATGATCTTGGAAGATGTTATGAGCATGGAATTGGTGTTGAAAAGGACGAATATAAAGCATATACTTATTATCAAAATTCCGCTGAGATGGGTGATCCTGATGGAACATTTAACCTTGGCTATTGCTATGAAAATGGAACTGGTGTTCAAAAGAATGAATTTAATGCATTTAGTTATTATGAAAAGTCTGCCAATATGGGAAATGCCTATGGATTAACATATCTTGGACATTGTTATGAACATGGAATTGGACTTGAGACGGATGAAGATAAATCATTCATTTATTATCAAGAATCTGCTGAAATGGGTGATGCTGATGGGATGTATCAAGCTGGTTATTGTTATTTGAATGGCATTGGAACTGAAGTTGATGAAAATGAGGCATTTATTCATTATCTAAAATCAGCAGACATGGGAAATTCTGACAGCGCATTTCAAGTTGGTTATTGTTATCAAAATGGAATTGGAGTTGAGCCGAATGATCACAAAGCATTTATTTATTATAGAAAATCTGTAGATATGAATCATGTTAGTGGAATAAATAGCCTTGCTGATTGTTATCGAAATGGGATTAGAATAGCAAGAGATTTACAAAAGGCCCACTATTGGTATCAGAAAACATAAATACATTTTCATTTTATCATAATTTATTGTCGGGGATGATGCTGAAATTGGCTGATGCTGATTTAAATCTATAATACCTACTAAAATTCACATACTTTTTTACCAACAACACTAGCCCTAAACCCTAACCTAACCCTAAAAAAAACCCCCTAACGAAAAGGCCCGAAAATTTTTTAAAATTTCATAATAAAATAAGTCAAATTTTCAGCATAATCCGATTTCAGCATTATCCCCGACATTTATTATTAATTTAAATTTTTAATAATATATAATTAATAACAAATTAGAGGAAAAGATAATCGATCAGGTAATTATATTAGCTACCATTCTATACTTTTTATTAATATTTGAAGTCTTTTGATTAACTGAGTCTGTATGGTTTAGCAAAATTTGAATGGGAGCATGAGAATTCTGATATTGATGATGATTTAAAAAGAATGCTGATCGAAAATAAATATTCATTATCATGGATTCCTTATAATAAATTTTCCAGCATTAAAGAAATAGGAATAGGTGGATTTTCAAAAGTATTTTTTGCTAAGTGGTTGGATCAAAATCAAAATTTGTGGAGAAATGTTGCACTTAAATTACTTCATGGATCGAAAGATTATAATCATAAAGAATTTATAAAAGAGGTAGGTAATTCTTCTTGTTTGGATATTTTCGGTTGGTTTATTTCATATTTTTAATTTTTTTTGTTATTTTAATAAAGTTAAAAGCATATTGTAATATTGGTCTTGAAAACCCCACTTTTTTAAAATGCCATAGCTTTTCAAAACATGATTCTTCTGGGGATTATAATCTTGTTAAGGAATATGCATCAATGGGATCTTTGCAAAAAAACATTGTAATGTAGTACAGATGAAATGGAAAGATAAATTAATTTTATTATATAGTATTGCTTTTGATTTACAGATTATTCATTCCAAAAATTATATTCATCGCGCTTTACATAGTGGAAATATATTACTGACAAAATTAACCAGTGCATATATTGCAGATTTGGGACTTTTGTCAAATAAAATGTTGAATAATGAACGTGATAAATTTTATGGCGTTTTACCATATATAGCACCTGAAGTTTTAAGAAGAAAAGAATATACTACAGCATCCGATATTTATTCTTTTGGAATAATTATGTGGGAGATTGCTTCAGGAAAATATCCATTCACCGAAAAAGATTATCAAGAAAATCTACTTATAGCTATTTGTGAAGGATTGCGACCAGCTATTCCTAGTAATGCGACTCAATGTTATAATGATCTTATGAAGATGTTGGGATAAAAATTTAAAAGAACGTCCGTCAGCAGTTGAAATTTGTGAAATTATCAATAAATGGAAAAATGATAGAACATATCAACTTCAATTTATTGAGTCTGATAATAAATATTGGCAAATAGACTAAAGTTACTCAAATACATACTGAGGAAATAAATATTGGAGAAATTCTTGACTAGTTCTTCTAGCCCTAACAACAATCTGTCAAGTCAAGCAAATACTGTATTATCAAATCTGCAAATTTATTGAATCAACATTAAAATAATAGCAAATAGAACAAACGTCTCAAAACATACTTTTAACAAAAACATTATTAGCAGATTATCATGAAAGGTTTATTTCTACTTAACTTAAATATTATAGTAATAACTAGCTAAAATCCCGTGCAATGAACGCGAGAATATTATCTGCTAGATTTTAGATCTAATTTTTTTATCAGGTTGATAATTGAAAAGTTGGCTAGAATTTCAGGTATGTTTCACAATTATAGAGATTTAGAGTGTGCTCAAGCGCCAAATGCCTTAATCAATAGTATTGGAAATATGTCGGCAATTAAATTTTAATTAGTGGATAGTGTCATGGTTTAAATTTAAATATGTGACCTATACAATCATAAGGCATGTACACATATAAGAGTTTGTATTTCTGTACTTTCTGTACCTTAATTTTATGTATAAATTTATGCAAAAAAATCATTTAAATTTAATTTTTGTAAAAATACACATTTAAACTTTAAATTTTAAATATATATTTTTTTGCATTTAATAATTTTAGTTTAAAGTTTTAGTCTTTATTCTCAAGCAGTTTGACAATCTTTCTTTAAAGTTGGTTAATTCTTTACTATCTTCTTTAAGTTAAATATCACCTATGTAATATATGACTGGTTAAAATTATTATTTAAAATTATTAAAATTAGCTTATATATTTTAAGATACGTGAAATCAAAGAACTATAATACTTTATGTAATAATAAATTTGCTTGTAATCAATTTTATTTCTTTTGAAACCAAATTTGTACAAAGTGACAAACAACTTTTAAATTTGTACAAGGTTATTTTTAAATTCATACATAGTGATTTTCAAATTTGTACAAAAGAATATCGCAATCTTAACAATTTACGTTAATTCTAATACAAAACTAACTCAAACATAACTATATACTGTGATCACCTGGATTAGTAAGTACTGTAAAAGAATTTTTTAAATTAACAAATAATAAAAATCATAATAATTATGATATAAACTCAATTATATATGGTAATCACTGTATTACGCTAGTGATAGATAAAATGATAATAAGATAGCTACAGTATGTAGTACGCAGTGCTGCGCAAGACCAGTAAGATTAGCCATATAGAGATAATATTATTTTGTTCAATTAACTATCAAGATATACTGGTATTTATCTGCACTGATTAACATGAATAAAATAATCCTTTGCATACTAGAATAAATATAGTAGCTCACTTTTATCAAAAAGATTTTATTAAGTAAAATACCTTAATTTTATTATTTTCACAAATATTACAATAGTGCTATTATGTTTTAAAAGAAAAAGATAAGGTATTTGATTATTTAATATTCAGGTCACTTGTATTAGTGAATTGATTCTTGACAGTAATAATGACTGATACTGATCAGCCACTTACGCAGCCGATCAGTATCAGTCATATATTTTCACCATTACTGTCAAAGATCAATATCCAAATACTCAATAACCTAAGACATTATTATTATGAATTTATTTGATATCTAAGTTGTTAAGATTGAATTAGTTTAGCTTTTTGTGAAATGATTGCAATTGCAGGTTATTGCAAAAAATTCTGTTACAGAACTTACTTACTATTCTAGTATGTGGATAAGTTGGTTTGTATTCAATTTATTGTGATTATTATCATGTGTTACTGTAAAAATTCTGTTACCGTATTTTCGCGTAATAACGTGCAGGGGTGTAATTTCAAAATTTGGCCCAAATTAAGCCATTATTCGAAATAACGCTCATGAGCGTTATTACACGAAAATATGGTATAAAACTTACTCTTCCAGTAACACTCTTTAAAGTTAAATCAATTTGTTTTGAATTATAATAACTTCTATGTAATTTAGTCTAAATTAGAAATCGATATAATTTATATTAAGTTATTATAAAGAATAAATCTATTATAACAGCCTATTACATGCTTATTTGTAACAGTTTGACCTATAACTCAAAAGTTTACTAAGATAATCTCTTTTGTGCTACTAATAAAAAATGATCCTCTCACAATTTTGTAATAATTTTGATATTAACTCTAAATCTAACTCTAATACTAGCACTAACTCTAACACTAACCCTAACATTAACCCAACATTAATAAACTGTTACAAATAAGCATGTAACAGGCTGTTACAAATAGATTTTTCTATTATAAAAAACTGAAATACTATTGTAGTAACTACAGTAAGTAGATGAGCTAGTTTGTAATGAATTATTGTAATTTTTATATGATTCAGTGTTTAAAGTGAACCTAATTTCAAATCAAAAATATTTCACTTAGAAGAATTTTAGTTTATTTTATAAGTCCAAAACTAGTTTCACCCAATTTGATCTGCAAATTTGAGTTTTGTCCAAAACACTGATATGATTAAGGTTAAGTTAGTCTGCATTTATATTATTGTAACTTTTTTATGAATTACTGTAAAAAAAATTGTTAAAGAAACTTGACACGGCCACAAGCGGTTCTACGGCAAAATTGGTCTGGAACTCATGCTACAATGTCATCGTAAGCATGACTCGGGTTTGATAGTAGATGGTTTAATGTGTGTAACCGATCAATCAAGGATCGATCAGAGCGCATAAGAAATATAGGATTAATAAAGATAAGTGTCGGATGATTGATCAATGATGTAATTGAGGTAAAAAATAAGTATCGGATGATTGATCATGATGCAATTAATCTTAGATCGAATGCTAAGTATATAAGGTTCCTTTTGTTTATAAAAGGACGTAGCAACACATAGGATATTTTTATGGATGGTTACGACTCTTATGTGCGTGGTGGGGCACATGAGGATATACAAATAAGTAAAAAACAGTAGATAGATGTAAAGAGACTTTCCTCAAAAGCGTACGAATGACGAATAAGGAAAAGATTTAACTCTACCGGCGATTTGAAAGATCTCCAATAGGTGGTCGGATAGGGCCGCCACAAAACTTACTCATTATTTTAGCAAATACATCAGATAGTTTATTTTGAGTTAGTTTGTATTACAATTATCAAATTATTGTAAGAAAATCTGTCATAAAATTTATTTTATTCAAATGATATATAATATGTAATTAAGGCTATTGTATTGAAATAAATATATTTGGTGCTAGAAAAAGGAACAAAATTGATATATAAAAAATTCTTTACAAAAATTAATTAATTCATGAACTATTAATCAGAATTATATGTTTTTGATACTATTCAATTCATCTCATAAATATGAAACAAATAGTACCAAAAACATATAATTTTTAATTAATAGTTTACAAAAAATTTAATTTATTGTGAAGTGAATTAATGTAAAAAATTCTGTTAACAAACTTGTTCACTATTTTAGTAATAACAAAAAGGTAAGTTGGTTTGTATTAAAGTTACCAAGATTTTATTGTAAAAAATTCTGTTATAAACTTACTTGATATTTAGTATGTAATTAAGAGTTGAGGTAATTTGCAATGAGATTATCATGATTTTATTATGAACTACTATAAAAATTCTCTTACAGAACTTTCTTAATATTATAGTACAGTATAACCTTGATATAACAAACCTCAATATACCGAATTTGGTATTATAGCGAAGATTTTTTTTAGCTAAAATTTTTTATTACAAAAATACCTTAATATAGCAAATTTTACTTATAAAACCTTGATATACTGTATAATGAAGAAAAAAAATTTTATTTATAACAAAGTTACCTTGATATAACAAATACCTTGATAAAGTGAAATATTTATAGTATAATGAAACTTTGTGTAACACTATCAATCAAATTCTTATATTGGGACACATTATATAAACCGAATGTTTTATAAAATATATATATATAATTCATTATATCAAGGTAAATCATTTATAAACTGAATATTTTATATAAATTCATTATATCAAGAGACCCTGATATAGTGAAATATAGATATAATGAAGCAAAACCTTCAGCTTCAGAGCTTTATTATATTGAGGTTATACTGTATATAGTTAAGGCTAAATTAGTTTGTATCAGAATTTATGATTTCTATTATAAGTTGGAAAAACATTTATTCTGGTAATATACAGTGTGTATTTTACTATGAGCATTTTATTTTTTAAAAAGAACCAAGCAGCAAAGCCAGTACTAATCTAGTTCACAAGTTCGAATCATGTTATAAAATTTTCTCATAACAATAATAATTCATTTTTTTCTTTACAATAATAATAATAATAATAAATTAATTTTTATAGTTTTTCTTTATAGTGATCAGCAATGAGATAATTATGTTATATATTATACAATAAATATTATACAACTACATATAGTAAGTCATGATAGTTAGTCCAAAATTATAAATCACTAATAATTTATTTAAATATTAAATCACTGCTAGTATTATATATAAAAAAAGAAATAATATCTGTTCTATTATTAATAAACTTGAAATCTTTATTTTAAGATTGAGCTGAGTATATAACATTTTTTAGTATTCATTTGCTTACAATATAGTTTTACAAGACAACTACAGTATTAATTTATTTTTCTGTATTAAGATGATCTTATTGGCTAGAGAAACTTTTTATTAGAGTATAGTTAACATTTTATAATACAATTATAATAATGATACATCAAGCCACCTATGCAGTTTTGGTGTCTAATTTAAGTAGTCCACTTGAAGTATTAGTACTATACTAAGAGTTTATACTATTTGCCATACCTATATCCAACTACATTTAAACTATCTGGTTTTAACTGCTACTATCAGCCCTCTAATACAGGACTTACTATCTTAAGCTAGTCTATCTTCGAGGTAAATCTAACAGAGCAGTACATGTCTTATACATGTATTGTTTCTATAACTTCTTCCTATGTTATGCCACCTTTTAGAGTGCTGCTTACTATGATTATTTCTCAAGCACTAACTTTCCTAATTAAGCACTTATTATATACTCCTTGCCTTTATTCAGTTCACAACAACCCAGTAGACGCTAACCCTAAAGTTAATAAAAACGGTATATTACATGATCTGCTCCACTTTAAGAACCCTCTATATTTGGTAATTTGTTAATTTTATTTTAATAATTTAATATTAATATTAAATAAAATATTTATCTTAAAATTTTTTAAAAGTTTTTAAAAATTTAGAATTATATATAATTTATTATACTGAACAAATTTTACATAATAACTATATATAGTTTATTTAATAAAAAATTTTTTAATATACAGTAATAATGATAACTAATTTTTTAAAATTACTAATTTTGTACAAGTATAACATTACACAAAATTGTGTAACCTTAATTAACTTAATTGCTGATTCGGTTATGATCGGCACTAATCACGT